TCAGTCCCACTTCCGGCTTTTTCTGCTTATGTGGTGCTGAGGAATCGAACCCAGGGCCTCATGCATGCAAGGCAAGCACTCTACCACTGAGCCACCTTCTCAAACCCAGTAGAAGGCTTTTTACACAGATGATAAGGAAGAAAGCAAGCAAAGAAAGTTTCCTTCCTAAAAGACCACTTGTTCAGGTTATCTAATGATACATAGCAAATCATCCCAAAATTTATGACTTAAAACTATCAATAATCATTTGTTATCTCTTATAGAGACTTGGGAGTGACTTGGCTGGCTAAAGATCTCTGCTGAGGTTGAAGTTAGATGTTACTGGGGCTGTGGTCTTCTGAAAGCTTGACTAGGACTATTGAATTGCTTTTTTTTTTTTTTGGCGGTCATGGGGCTTGAACTCTGGTCCTGAGCACTGTCCCTCAGCTCTTCAGCTCAAGGCTAGCACTCTGCCACTTGAGCCACAGTGCCACTTCTGGTTTTCTGGTGATTTACTGGACATAAGAATTTCATGGCTTTTCCTACCTGGGCTGGCTCTGAACTGCAATCCTCAGATCTCAGCCTCCTGAGTAGCTAGGATAACAGGCATGAGCTACCAGCACCCGGCTGAATTAATTTCTATGATGGTTCATTCACACAATTTGCAAGATGGTCCTAGCTTTTGGATTAGAGCCTTAGCTCCTACATACTTATCTCTCCACAGGACTATTTGAGTGATCTTGAAGTCTAGTAGTTAGCTTCTGTCAGAGCAAATGATCCAACAAAGCAATGCCAACTGCAATGTTTTTATAACCTAGCTTAGAAGTTACACATTGTTTCTTCCACTATATATTATTGGTGTGACAGGGTCATCTATGATTTAGTGCAGGAGGAAAATTGCCAAGGGTATGAATACCAGGAGAAAGAATCACTAGGGGTGATTTTGGAGGCTGGACCAATTACTCCTTAAAAGAACAAATAGCAAGCCAGGAACTGGTGGCTTACACCTGTAATTCTAGCTACTCAAGAGGCTGAGTTCGGAAGATCACAGTTCAAAGCCCTGAAGGAAAGTCCGTAAGACTCTTAATCTCCAATTAACCACTCAGAAAAAGCTGAAAGTGGTGCTGTGGTTCAAGTAAAGTACTAGCCCTGAGCAAAAGAAGCTCAGGGACAGTACCCAGGAACTGAGTTCAAGCCCCAGGACCAGCAAAAAAAAAAAAAAAAAGAAAAAGAAAAAGAAGGAAGAGACTAGAAATGGTAGCAGTATGGAGGACAGAAGGAAAGAAAAAGGACAAGAGAGAAAGGGATATTTCAATTCCCAAAATCTTGAGACTAGAGAGAAACAATGTGCCCAGTTCTCCAGAGATTTCTCAAGTCTACCTTGTCCTAACATTCTTGGACTAAGTCCTGCTTTCTAGGCAGGATCGACACCTAAGTAGATAAATGCTCGGTACACTTGAGAAAAGACTCTCCTCCCTCCCTCCTTGCCCACCCAACCTTTTCTGAAGCATTGATGCAACTGTTACCTGAGGATGAATCTGTGGCTTGTCACACGTGGCCTCAAAGTCCAGCACTAAAAAGTAGTGATACCTCTGGGGAGGGAAGGACACCATTGCCGCCATGGATGCGCCAAAGCCGTGGGCCGCCAGCTTTCGGGTGGATATGGAGCAGAACTCCGGAACACCACAGGGAGAAAATAAGTGGGAGCCCAGCACTTTTCTTGCTCTTGAAAGTAAATACGAAGAAAATCGAGCTGCTCCAGTCTGTAAAGGTGCTAGCATTGAACATCCAGAAGCATCTAAAACTTAGGGGAGGAAAGTTAAAAGAAAAACAAAAAACAGAGAGCCTGGGTTACTCCCCTCCCACTGTGGCCCTGTTCCATCTAGTCTTCAGGAATAGCCATGCAACTTGAGCCACTTCCCAGCATTCTGGGCTGCTTTTCTAAATCACAGTATTCATTACTGAAGTTCAAGACCCTAACACCAGCACCTGCAGCATTATTACAGCTCTGTGTCTCCCAGATCATTCTCAAAACAACATGCGACACTGGCCTTCATCTTTAAATGGAGCTCTGGTTCAAAAGAGAACAGAGAAAAATTCTGAGGTGACTTCTCAGGTGCAACAGTTAACTTTAAAGCTAAGAGTCCCAACGTAACATGAGGTGAACCAGTTGTGCAATAGTCCCGGGAACTAAGTAGACTCAAACAGTCCAAGGCTCTCCTCAGCTGTTACACTCCACTGGCCCCTGGTTCTCCAGTCTGTGTCTCCATGTACCACCCCAGCTGAAAGTGTGCAAGTGAGCAAAGCCAATCCCAAGGGAGTTTGCTCACATTGTTGTGATTCCCCAACCCCCATTCTAGTATGGCACCCTGGGGGAATGAAAGAGGCCTGGAGAGCACAGCTGGCAACAGCCTCAGGCCTCCTCATGTGCTGCCTTCAGTTTCACTCTCTCCTAGAGGCTCTAAGGACTTCAGGGCTTTTTAAATAGGGAGGGAAAAAGAGAAAACCCAGATGTGGCAGTAATGGGAGCATTGCTAAAAATCTAGTAAAGTTTTCTGAGGGAACATGTGCAAAAAAAAAAAAAATTCAAATCACTTTTCCTTTACATTTTCCCTTTAAATGTTTAGAATATCTGCTCCTCAGAGGGCTAACTAAATATAAAATCAAAGCTAAGTTTTACTCACAAAAAACCCAAGCTTTAAAAAAGAGGAGAGAAATAAAAAGAAACAATGCAGAAATTTTGTGTTTTCCCTCTTTTTATACCCAACACACAAATTTCCCTAACTTTAAACCTCAAACAAGAAATATTACCATTCTACACAGAAACCCCACTGCAACAGAACCAAAGGCTTGCCTCTCAATGGCTATAAATAAGCACTTTGCTTCTTCTATGTGGAGTAGGGGAAGTGTAGAGCACACAGAAAAGCAATGAAGCTACTATCTCCTGAGCAGAAAAGGGCAAGGGCAAATATACTCCTCTCAGCCCTCTACTACCAAACATATGTATTAGAATGTATGTTACAGTGGGTCCTCAATTTCCCTGTTTGTATAGTGAGATGTCATGGGAACTTAGTGAAGATGAAAAAGGACTTTAAGTTTTTCCTTGGCCCAGCAAAAGCATAGGACTTGCTTTCTACCATTGCTTTATAGCCTTCCCAAAAGTGTAGCCTAAACTCCTCAGTCTAGGTAGACAAAGGCTGACTTGAGTTTCACTACGGAATCCTTTGGAAAGACAAAAGAGACACCATTCCTTTGAAAGCTAAAATTCAAAATAACCCATATGTCACCCATTCCTGAAGAGTACTAAAAAACCTAAACATGGGAGACATCAGTCTGCTCCATTATGCATTCTGCTTTAGATCCAAAGACCTTCAGGGACTTAGAACTCTTATCTAACTTGACGAAATCAGGCTATACATAAAAACTTTTGAAACTCAAGTGCTCTCTAATGTGTCCATTGTTAATAGTATACAGTCACTGGACTCTTGTCTGTCAAATACTGCAGGTAATTAAGCATGATCAATGAAGGTCTCCAGGTTTGATTCCTACCTGAATTCTGTTCTTCTATCCTTTGCCTATAAAATAATAATAGAACCTATTCCATAAGGGAAAATGAGATGAGCTAGTACATATAAAGTACCAAGAGCAAATAAGGACTCAATAAATGCTAGCTTACTACTATTACTACTACTATTCACTTGGCTTTGCCCCCTTCACCAACTCTGCACCCCCATACTCTGGAACAATAAATCCAGTAAATATTCAAAGCAGTCTTATGGAATTACATCAATATCTCTTGCATCCTATAGGACACTACACACACACACACACTCACTCACCCACTCACTATCCCCTCTATAGATAACATGTTGATGGTGGAGATCCTTAAGTGAAGACCTTGTTTTCTCACCTGATTTAACCCACATCAAAAAGAGCCTCCTAATGGAGGCAAGGCTCAGCAGTGCAGTGCCTGCCTAGCAAGTGTGAGAATCTGAGTTCAAATCCCAGTATTTAAAAAGAGAGCCTATACCAAGTCTTAAGGATAAACACTGAGAGACCAGCCTCCACACGTCAGCACCCACTACTTCTAGCCACCAACTTCAGTTCAAGTTATCAAGGTAGCTCCTCCATTACCCTTCCTGGAAAATTCAATCCTAAAACCAGTGAATGAAACATTAAAGGTAGATGTGATGGCTCACACATGTAACTCCCAGCTATTCAGGAGGAAGAGATTGGAAGGATCAGGTTTTGAAGTCAACTGAGGCAAAAAGTTAGCAAGACTCTCTCACAAGTAACCTGGGCCTGGGGGTACACATCTGTAGTTCCAGCTACAAAGCAGGCATATATAGGAGGGTCGAGGACTATCCAGGTAAAAAGTACAAGACTCTTATCAGAAAATAAATAAATAAATAAATAAACCACAAAAATCTGGAGGCATGGCTCAAGTGGTAAAAGTGCTTGCCTAGCAAGTGCATGTTCCTGAATTCAAATCCCAGTATCACATCCCATATAAACAAATAATGACAACAACAAAAACTTAAATGCATAAGAGTAAGCAAATGTCTACACCAGTTGGAATGGAGGAATGAGAAGGAATCTGGAGGGAATGACAAACTCTGGCAGGATGAGAAGGCCATCTGTGCAAAGGTGGGGTGTTGTGGCAGTGGCATGTATGGCAGTCCTTCATGTCAAAGGCAGTAAAATGTGGGGAATCATGGGTAGGATAAAAGTAGCACTCAGGAGGGGTAAAGGGAAGTGAAGATTCTGTAGACACCAAGTGACAGACCAAATAAATGCATATGTCTTCACACATGTAACAGGATTCAGGTTTCTGATAAAGGAAATAAAATTTGGGGAGAAAAAAAATCCATGGTGTTGGACTGGAATTGGCAGTAAGAATATTATTAACTCTGCTGGAAGCTGATGGTTCACACCTGTAATCCTAAGTACACAGGAAGCTGAGATCTGAGTTTCCCAGTTCAATACCAGCATCAGCAGAAAACTCCATGAGACTCTCACCTCCAATTAATCAGCAAAAATCCTGGAAGGTATGGTTCAAGAAGTAGAACTCCAGCCATAACAGGAAAAAAAGCCAAGCCAAAGCGAGACACTGGATTTAAGCCCCAGTATGGGCACATGTGCACGTATGCACATGCACACATGCACACACACATACACACATGTCTTAGTCTTTGACACGGAGATGTATAAATGTAGATGTAAATACAAGTATGATTATACATATGTATACACACACACACAGAGCTATGTTCTAGCTCTGTCTAAGGAAGGGCCAGAAGCAACACTCCATAGTAATAAGTACAAAATAGAACTTTGTTCCTTTCTAAATATTATTCTACACTATGAGAACTAGAGCTCCTTGGAGAAATAGCTGATTACAGGGCTGTGGCAGAAAAAGTACAAGATGAGCCTGAAATATCTTGTTGTCCCAGAAAAGGAAAAGCTTAAAGAATGAAGGAAATATATCAAAAGGACTCCTATTGCCAAGTAAATAATGATAATAATGGGTTTTTTTGTTGTTGTTTTTTATTGGTTGTGGGGCCTGAACTCTGGGCCTGGGCGCTGTCCCCCAGCTCTTCAGCTGTAGACCAGCACTCTACCACTTGAGCCTCAGCCCCGCTTCCGGCTTTTTCTGCTTATGTGGTGCTGAAGAATCGAACCGAGGGCCTCATGCATGCAAGGCAAGCGCTCTACCACTGAGCCACCTTCCTAGTTCCATAATGATAGTAATGGATTGCTATGTTCTGAATAAATGAGCAAAACACGAGTACACACATGCATATAAGCATACATACATACACACCTACAAACAACTAAAAGTTTATAGAAGGATATTTACGTACTCTCAAAGTATCTCTCCACAAAATGCTTAAATTACAATAGAAAGTAATTTTACAATATAGAAGCCTGGCAGACATCACTGTAATCAACTGAACAAAAATAAACATCATCAATAATAGGGTAAATCAAAAGCATGTGCTATCAGAAAAGATGTCATTTCTATGACATTTCTGTAAAAGGCATTACCTAATCTAATCATGAGAAAATATCAGACAAACCCTAATTGAGGGACACAATAACCAGCCTGTAATCTTCAAAAGAATCAAAATCATGAATGTCAAAGAAAGTTTTCTGACAAAGTCTAAAGGAGGCTAAAGAGACTTGATAAGTAAATGCTAACTACAATTTTAAGCCATATCATTTTGCTACAAAGAACAATCCTAGAACAATTGGAAAAACCTGAGTGGGATTGGTGGATTAGATGGCAGAAACATATCAATGTTAATTTCCTGACTTTGACAGATATACTGCAGTTAGGTGAAAAAATGTCCTTGATTGTAGGAAATATACTCAAAAGTACTCAGGGAGATAGAGCATTAGTTCAAGAACTTAATCCTAAAATGGTTCAAGAAAAATTCTTTATATTGTACTTACAATTTCTATACCTATTTGGGGCTGTTTCAAAAAATTTATTTTTTAAGTTTATGTATAAGGCTGAGGGAACTTGCATAAGGCCCTGAGTTCAACACCCAGGACAATAAAATAAATATATGTATAAACAAACATAATGAAGTCATACAATGTAGTTTTAAAAAGAAAAAAACAGAACATATAGTATGTGAGGAAGAGATCCACTGTAACATCCATAGAAGGTATGCATATGTCAGTCCTCAAAGCATCCTCAAGCTACATGGTCTATCCAGCTGCATCTCCAAAAGAACAGTCCCACACAATGGCCCCCTCCTTGGAACAATCCACTCTCTGCCATGGTCTTCTTAGGAA